GACCGACTCCATGTGCAACGTCCACCAAACCCTGATGCGTTTCCTCCCAAAAAGGGACTTCCTCAGAGGGGTGGAGGGACATTGCTGTCTCTGCATGTCAGCTTACCTTTATACACCACAGATGGCCCGGATTAGTCAGACTGATTCAAACAACCCTATCATACATATGAGTGTCACTGGGTTCAGGACAGATGTCTTTGCGCTCATCTTTAAAGTTCTTTAATCCACAATTCAGTAATCGGGCCAGTGTGGTTTATACAGGGGGCAATAAAAAACAAACAAATGTATTCAATTACCCCAAAATCAAACCCCATGTGCAAAAAAGTGTAAATCTCCCAAAACAAATTTAAAAAAACCTCACATTCTTACCATAAAAAAAGAAAAAAATTTCATAATAATGAACATACACTGAGTGGCCAGATTATTATGACCACCCCATCAGTACTTCGTTGGGCCACAAGATGACTCCACGAGATGACTTTGTTGGGCCGCCTCGTGACTCCACGAGATGTTGAAAGGTGATACGAGGAATCTGACACTGCACTGTTGGCCTTCTGTTGTCTTGTACCAGTCTTGCCACTCACCGTTCTGCCCTAACATTGACTAGTCGCTGACGGCCACAATTCGCACGCTCAGACCCAGATTTTCGGCTGACAGTCCAGTCATTAAACACTTTAACAACAGCTGCTCTTGAACATTTAACGAATTCTGCTGTTTTGCTGATACTCGCTCCATGGCTTGAGCGCCAACAATCATCCCACGTTCAAAGGCTGTTAAATCGTGCTGTTTACCCATATCTTCAGAAAAAAATCACTTCCACTGTCGTGGTAAACAACCTGCTTCCCTATTTATAATGGTCTGGCCCTCTAGCAACTTCAGCGTGAAATTATAGCTAATTATAGCTCATTTGCCTACAAACCGGTGGTCATAATAATCTGGCTACTCAGTGTATATAAGACTATATACAACCTCCTTAGGAAATGTATCAAACCCAATAATATGCTGGAAATTCTAAATAAATTATTCAATCAGATTGTAATACCGTACGAATGATCAGCTTCAGTTGTATCACCATTTTTTGCAAATATTACTACAACTCTTTTTTGTTCCTTGGGATGGTGTGCGGAAGTTTCTTTGATGTTAGGAATTCATACCTCCCAACTTTAGAACATGAGAAAGAGTGTCCCTCACCCTAATGTTTAAATTATGCTTAATATTGGGCTTAATATACCCTGAGCCTCCATGCAGTATCACCAGACATGAATGCCGTATTCCTTGTACTTACAAAACACCTTTAAATGGCACAAATAAGAGTCTTACAGACATATACTGTGTATCACTTAGCACAAAGAATCATTTTGTTTTAATCAAACTCTTTCATTACACATGCCTTTTGTGCACAGAATATAAGCAAAGAGCTAACACTTTGTCTGATCCTACCTTAAAGAAGAACTACATGAAAATAGTTGGGGACTATATAGCAACCAGTAACTGTTGGGGCAACAAACATCTTTGTCAGGAGTATGTAATGTACAGCACAGACTAAAGAGTGCAGCAGTCAGGACTATACATACAACAAATCTTATAGAATGCAGGGATCAGGAGTAGAACATACAGATAGAGTGCAAAGAACAAGAGTATGTTACATAGTCCTACATGCCGGTCAGTGGGAGACAAAGAAGGGGGAGTAGGAATGGAAGGAACAATCCCTATTTAACAAGGCAGTGGTGGTCAGTGAATTAACCCCCCTAACCCTCTTCCCAGAAATTGGTAGCCAGTGAGGGCCCATTCACACTAGAGCATTGTGGTAATGTATGGTATGCACATTTGGGGCACTGCAGTAGTGCTGTTCATTGTTAATGATAATTGAACACACCTTCCCAATGCAACTGGATTGCAGCACACCGCAATGTGTAAAATGTGCTACAGTGTGTAGCAGTGCCCAGAACTCACCAAATTGGTGCATGTATGATTTTTGGTTCTTTTGTGGAGCTTTGGCAGCCCTAAAGCGACACACACATTTATGTTCATTAAATGCAACACAGCAGACTGCCCTGTTGTAAATGGACTCTGAAGGTCCTAATCAGCTGCAGCTCTCCTATGCCTTTTTTAATGTGCTGGGTAACAAATAGTTAAATGTAATGAAGGTGTATGCCACTTCCAGCATTGCTGATTGTCTTATACTTATACTATTTTGACTTTTACTCATGCTGGAAAGTATAGCTTTTCCTATAATTCAGACACTGTGGCAGAAGAGCTGCAGCTTTCCTACATTTTTTTATGTGGTTGCTAACAAATAGTTAAATGTAATGAGGTCTATGCCACTTCCACGATCACTTGCTGCTCTTTACTTTTATCGATTTTATAAATGCCGGGAAGTATAGCTTTTGTTATACTTTCAGATCTGACTCTCCTACACACAAGCCACACATTTGTTTGTCCACCCCTCTTCTCCTCTTATACATTCACAGAACGCTTTGTATTCTGTGAACCCATTCAGCCACAGACACAGCCTGATTCTGGGGAATGCTGAGATTTTGTTGAAATTAGGATGGTTAGGAGATAAGGGATTTTATATGCCTTTTGCTCTAAAGTTTTTTTTGTTTTGTTTTTATTTCCAATTGTTTTCTATAGTTTTGTGCAATTTGTTTACAGTATGTGTATATTTACTTGGTACTTTTATAAAAATTCCAGCAATAGTGCATGTTTTGTGAATGACTGAATTCGTACATAGGTAATAATCAGTGTCTCAGTAACGTGTTTAACTACCAACAGAATCTGGATATCCACAAAACATGAACTGTAGGTGGTGCTTGGGGACTGGTTTAAAAAAGGATTTATAGTAATAAAAATAATAATAATAATGTATTAGTACAGCTACTACTGCTGACATACTACTGTGTATAGTATCATTTAGATTTATATTTGTTCCTGATGATTGTAGCAGACATACTCAAAATTTCTGTGTCTTTATTATATTTCTTACGCCTGATGCTGGCTGCTGCAGGCTGTGAGCTGGACACCAGAAGCACTCGATATTTGGATTATTGTATTGTTTACCTGTCTTCATGAATTAAGATGAAATACTGATATTCAAAGATAAGCACATTCACAAGTACATGTCAAAGTGAACTCATAAATAGATCAGTTTTGAATATATATTTTGATGCCACGGTGATCTGTTTGGAAGATAATTAAAGAAGAATAATTTAATTCAAGTCTGAGACAAGTTAAAACTTGCCTAGTGTGTAATATCTGATGAGTAATTTCCACACTTCGTGTTTTTAACTGAGATGTTCCAGGAAAAAAATACCAAAGGGATTAGAAGAACATTCCATGGAGAGATAGTATAATACACTTCAACATGTTTTTCTCTTTACAAAAGGCTTTTTAATAAAAAAGGTATAATCAACTCTATAAAGCATGTGAGGTAATGCATAAATATCAAATGGAAGCATGACGTCCTAAATATCTACATTATACATTCAACAAGGAACCATATTAGAAGCCCCAAATCGCAAGTTGGAGCTGTTATAAAGGGAGAACATATTTTTTATAATTTGGATAGAGCAACAATGAACTGTGGCTGGTGCATTTCTTTCTTTTATTAGTCTTGTCTTTCTTTATTTTCCCCTGGTAATACAGCCAATAAGTCTTTTTATTTTCAATTTCCTTTAACAGACCAGCCGGTCCAGCAAAGTGGCAGCTAGAGGGTTGAGACAAACCATTTGACACTCGCAAGGGTGCTTATAACGGTCAGTTTTGTATAATTTGTGTTAGCTGGAGTTCGGCCTTAAGTTGTTAGTCAAGTCCAACTAAATCTGCTAGTGTATCTAACACTACCCACAGTTTGACAATGCTAATGTTCAAGGGTGGCTCCACTGCTGCTCCACATAGTGGATCCACTCTAGGACAGGAAGTGCAGGTTACCAGGTGAAAAATATAGAAAAGAAAAGCATACACAATGAAAACTAATGCAGCCACCACAATCAGGGATGGGTAAGCTGCAAAATGTAAAATTTTTGTTTTTAAGTTTAGGTTTTGCGCTTCAACTTTGGGCACATATGTGTAAGAGGTTCAAGTTCTTCTTGCTGGACTTCATGGGCAGCAAGGCCAAATGTGCGCTAATTTTCTTTTCTGCACTTCCAGTGCATCACCCGCTATGAGCCTACACCAACATAGCAAGTAAAAGAGAAGTAAGGAAAAAAAAATCAATAAATCAATGTTATTGATAAAAGGGAGAGGAAAAGACAAAACAAAACACCTCTTCATATTTATGGCCATCATAAAATCGCCTGCTTATAAACAACTTAAAGGAGAACTATGGGGTCAGTGTTTTTCCCCATAGTTCTCCTTAGGGTAACGGGAGGACACAAACTAGCGTCCTCCCGTTACCCTAAGCTCAGTATACCGCGAGCGCTGGCAGATCGGAGCGGGGAGAGGGGAATCCAACCCGGTATGTGTTCGCTCACCTCCCGATCTCTCACTAACTCCTTGCACATGTGGCTGTACTATTATCACTATTGTAACTATTGTCAATGGTTTTTCCCTTCCAGCATTATTGATTTCCTTTCACATCCTGTCCCATAGCCACAACAGGAGGTAAGAGGAAATCCAATTCCAATGTGAAGGAAATCCCTGGTTGTCACCAGAACTAGTGTCTCCATTGGAAGATTTCCCATCTATTTCTCTTCTGGTCACAACTCAAAATATTGGATTTTCTTTCGCTATCACTCTTGGTGGTAACGGTAAATATAGAGGGACACAGATAGCAATACAAACCTGTGAAGTGTTCTACTCCCTCTTCACTTTACCTAAAACTAAAAAAAAAGTTTTGGCTTTAGGTGTACTTTAAAACACTTGGTATAATTTCATTTTTTTTTTTGCTGAAAACATCATTTTTAATAAAACAAATGAATGTAAAAAAAACTTTGCTTTTAAGCTGGCATTTTCTGGCCCACTTGTGTCTAATCTTATATCTTCATGTTTTCTGCACACAGGAATATCCTTTGGCAATTATCCAAGGGCTGGAATGCTTCTGTGGATACCCTACAGTTCAGTTTAACCTTTATGAACACCTGGATGACTCTTTGTGCGCTGGGTCTCTGAATGACAGCATTGGATCAGAGGTCCTGAGGGAGGACAGCTATTGTTCTGTCTACCAGACTCCCATACAAGGTAAATATATAATTTGTTGCCTTATTTGTCTCTGAGAAAATTGAAAAAAAGACTACTAGGACAGAAATTAGGCTGTCAGTTCAGCAAAATAAGGATTATATTTACAATATACTGTATAATGTTGTTATAATGTTAAAACTTACATTTGTTATAAAGGGGTCCCTAATTATTCCTGATAAAAGGAAATATAATTAAACTAACAAACTTTAAAGTGACCTTTAAAATGCAAAGTCTTAATAATTGAGGGTCCTTCTTCGTCATCACAAATAGCAACATTGCGTCAATAAGTTATTAAATATACTTGCCTTACCCCCAGCTTTTTCCCACAGCTCCTAGGCAAGGGTCATGTCATCCTCCTTTTAAATGGGATCCCGGGGAATGCTGAGTATACTAGATCTCGCAAGAACATGATCCTGCACTGTGCTGCAGTGTCTTCTTGGCGGCTTTGGAATACTCAGCATTCTCTAGGAACTTGCTGGAAGCAGAGAAGACATAACCCCCTGCAATACAGAAGCTAGGAGTAAATAAGAAATGTATGAATTCACTTTTTTCTTTAAACTGTAAGGCTGATGGAGAAAGTATCCTGATTCAGTAGGTGGACCTTGCATTTTCCTGCAAACTCCACTTTAAGACCTTGTGCTTGGGCTTCATCGTGCAAAAGGCAGTGTGTAACACAGGCTCTTGCTAAGCATTTGCAAAGCTTTCATCCAGGCCTTAAGCTTCAGCATCATCAGAGCGACGTTTTGGAACAGCAAAGTCCCTTCCTCAGGCAAAACAGATAATGGCAAAGCCAAATGGCAAATTCCTCAGGCATAACAGGACATTATCTGTTTTGCCTGAGTAAGGGACTTTGCTGTTCCGAAACATCGCTCTGATGATGTGACACCTGTGAAATCAATAAACATTGACTTTTCTACATGTTGGAGTGCTTGTGACCTTTTTTGTATTTTTTGTTTGCATACTCACACATTGTAGGTATTCGACTTGCTTGTGGACCAACATGATTGCCACAAAATAGTTTTTTTAAGGTTTTAAGAAGCAAAGGTAAGCGATGACAATCCTTACGTTTCTTCCTAAGTTTGTTGAGCTGGTGTTCTCACTTTTTAATGAAAGTAGAGATCCATGTACTCATTTTTTGGCTTTAAACACAATGGGGGGGGGGGAGAGATTTATCACAATACGAGCACACTGAATCTAGAGCAGTTGCCCAAAGAAACAAATCAGCTTCTCTCTTTCATTTTCAAAGCTTAACTGAATTAACTGAAGTGAGAAGCTGATTGGTTACTATGGGCAACTGCTCCAGATTCTGTATGCCCCAGTTTTAATAAATTCCCCCCATTATGGTTAAGACAAGACAATCTCCCGTAACGTAAATCTTTTTTTAAACTGCATTTAAAAAAGTGACTAGAATCGGTGGTATGGTACAGTAAACAGTAATGGAATCCATTAATGTTTTCAGAAACATAGGGGTCTATTCACAAAGCTGCCGAGGGCAGCCGAGTGAATGACCGATCAGAAGTGAAGTGAGCCGAACACTGTTCGGCTATTCACTTCAGGCTGGTACGGCTGATTTCAGCCGAATTCCAGTGATATCAATATCCCCAAAAAACTGGGACATTCCTGGAATTCTTGGATTATATTTTTTTCTTTTTCCATTAACAGTCTACAGTTGAACTCTGCATGTCATACAAGGATTGTGTTTTATGAAACTGGCCTTCATTTGCGCTCAGGTCTAGAAATGTTTATAAAGTGTGTCCATAAAGGTTAATACAAACATTAAGGCAACCATAAAATTTAAACTTTGCAATAAAATCCAGTAATAAAGATTAGACATTTGAAGGATTGTAATTGAAACTTTGATTTATTTTCACTAGCTTCTTGTGACTAAATTTAGTATCTTCTTCTGACCTTGGATAGCAAATTATGACATCCCAAGGACCTCATTATGAATAATAATGAGCTCAATGACAGTCAATATGTTGCACTTTGTGTAAATTTTAAACATATGAAAGCAATCAAAGATTATATTTTCTCCAAATAATATTATAATTAAAATACAAATTCACCCAAATGTTTGATTGTCTTTTTCCAATATCCCTATCAATGTTTGAAAACTGAATCAAACCATTGTTCTCTCATTGTTACCAAGATAAATTACGTTTGGTTATATGAACTGGGATGCTATCCCAGCTTGCTTTTTTTCCCTCTATGTGGAGAGCATTTACACTCTTACACTGATGTATGCAGGTTGAAGTTGAATAATACCCTAATGTCACACAGGAATGACTCTGAAGAGACTCTATCTAGCATCTCCATATAGTAATTGCTTCTATGTAACAGAGAAAAGAACTGGTGTGTAAAGTGCACATTTGATTTTTCATATAGTATATCTATTGCCTAATCATAGATAAGGAAACCAATTTGTGGACTAGACCAACATTCGTTACCATGTAGTTTATCTAGGTTTTGGAAGTGAAGGACATTACTTTGTGCCACATGTCAATTTTTCTAGAGAACTAGGTTGCTGTGATTTCATAGGTTCATGTATTATTTACTTTCTACAGTCCTTGTCAGAGAGAAGTAGGACGTGTGTTTGTTTCTTTAAGGCTGGACATAGGGTATAGATACCTGGATGAGAATGCCAGGTCAGAAGACATCTACCCATTGTCAAATGTGTTGAGACCTGCCACACTGAAAGTTATGAATTAGGTAACCACTAAAACTAGTGCACACAGTTTTAACAATGTTTGCTTATTTTGCAAACTAAAAAGGAAAGAAACAGGACCTGTAATACAGTTTTTCAGCAACATGAAAATGTGTGTGTGCGCAATAATAAGCACCTTCAAAAGGTCTGTGTAGTGTTTATTGACACACATTTTACAAGGAAAGTATGCTCTGTGCGGTGTTCTGATTTTGTATGTTTGAGTCTCCCTGGTCCGGTGTATGTAAAATACACAGTGCAGTGGTCAGAAATATGTAATGTACAGAGTGTAGGGGTCAGGAGTGGGTAACGCACAGAGTACATGGGGTCGGGTGTATATAATTTAGACAGAAGTATATACAGCCCAGCACACAGCAATACCACCTATGCATACACTCACATACACACACTGTATACACACACACGGTAAAAACATAGATCCACACACATTGTAAATACATACAAATGCCCAACTGTCCATTGAGCTGCTCCTGCTGGTGAGAGAGCAAGGAGGTGGCAGTGCTGAGGTGGAGTGGAATGATGGGATGTGCCCTGTTCAATGCCATCCTACTCATACCTGTATAGAAACATGTGACTGCCTGGAAGCAATACATCATAAGGTCACAGGCAGTAGAGAAGCATGGGCAGCAGCAGCATTGGGACCCAAGAGATGCGGGGATGTGCCCCTGGTGCATGGCCCGATACCCATGCTGCAGAAGCTCTGGTGGCAGAGGTGGAGGTCTGCCACTGGAAATCATGGGGTCCTGTATAGGCAACCCCTGTCATGCGTCCGTAATCCTCATTCAGTGCATGGATGACTATCTTCTGGCGTGATATGCTTAAAAACTGTAGAACCAGCACACAATGATCTTCCAAAGAAAATCAAACTTTATTCCACATGCATCTATACAAAAAAACAACAACCCCTGACATGCTTCTGCCTTATTCAGCCTTAGTAATAGCTGGTTGTGATTGAAAGCCAACCCCAGTAAAAATAGCATGCCACACAGGGTTGGGAGAACACTTAGGAGCACCTGTATCTAATAAACAGTCTATGTAATCACATTAAAACAAAACAGAGGAAAAAATGAGAATGCACACTTCAAAATTATGGGTAAACATCATCAAACTCAGACATTATATAGTAAAACCCATAACCAACAGTGGGAACACTAACATCGAAATATGACAATCACAAATTGTATAAAACTAGTGACCCACCTATAGTGTGCTGGTTCTACAGTAACTGACCAGGGGTCCTCTTCTCTCCCCCCCCCCCCCCCCCC